TCTGAGTCCTCATCCAAATGGATCTCAGCTGAACTGTTGCTCAGACGTCTGAATGCTTAACCAGCCAAAAGCTTCTAGTTTCTGGTCTTCACACCTTATATATCTTTCTGTTTTCTGCCATCACTCCCTGGGATTAAAGGCTCACTTCTTGGGATTAAAGGCATGTGTCACCATGCCTGGCTGTTTCTAGTGTGGCCTTGTACTTTCAGAGATCCAGAGGGATTTCTGCCTCTGGAATGCTAGGATTAAAGGTCTGAGTGCCACCATTTTCTAGCTTCTGTATCTAGTGGCTGTTCTGTTCTGTGATCCCAGATAAGTTTATTAGCATGCACAATATTTTGGGGAACACAATACTACCACACCTAGAGCCTTGTGCTTGTTAGGCAAGTGCTCTACTACTGAGCTAAATCCCCAACCCCAGATCATGCAATTTTTTATCAAGTCCATTTATGTAGTTTATTATGTTTGTTGACCTGTGTATGTTGAACCTTTCCTGAATTTCAGGGATAAAGTCAAATTGTTCATGGTAGATTTTTTAAATGTATTTCTGTATTCTGTTTACAAATATTTTATTGAACATTTTGAATCTATGTTCATCAGGGATGTTGTCCTGTAGTTTTTTTTCTTTTCTTTTTTTGTTGTTGTATGTTTACCTGGTTCTGGTATTAGAGTGATATTGGCTTCATTAATGTAGTTTGGGAGTGTTCCTTTTGTTCTATTTTTAAAAAAAATAGTTTAAGAAGGATTAAATGTAGATCTTCTTTGAATGTCTGGTAGAATTCTGCTGTGAATCCATCTGGCCCTGGACTTTTTTTTTTTTAAATCTAGAAGATTTTTATTATTATTTCAATCTGTTCATTTGTTATGGGCCTATTTAGATTGTTGACTTCTTGGTTTAATTTTGGTGGTTTGATTGAATTTAGAAATTCATCCATTCCTTTTAATGTTTTCCAGCTTCATTGAGTATTGGTTTTTTTTTTTTTAATATTCTCTTATAGCTGGCTGTGATGGTTCATATCTTTATTCCCAACACTTGGGAGGCAGAGGCAGGCAGATCTCGAAGTTCAAGACCAGTCTGGTCTACATAGTGAGTTCCAGGATAGCCAGGGCTATATAGAGAGACCCTGTCTCAAAAACACCAAAAAAAAAATATTCTCTTATAATATTCTGAATTTCTTTGGTGTTTATTGTAATATTTCCCTGTTCATTTCTGATTCTGTTAATTTAAGTCCTCTCTTTCTTTTGGTGAATTGTGCCAAGGGTCTGTCAATATGGTTCTCAAAGAACCAGCTCTAATATTCATTAGTTCTTTGTATTGTTATCTTTGTTTCTACTTCATTAATTTCTGCTCTGCTTTTTTATTTCTTGCCATCAATAGTGTTTGGTTCATTCTTATTTTTCCATATATTTGAGTTGCACCATTAAGCCATTTCTTTGTCCTCTCCCAAATAATGTTTTCTTCTGGTTTTATGTCACATGCATTCCACACACACACACACAGAGCTAGAATCCACACAGAAGATAAAACATGCAATGTTTGTCTTTCTGAGTCTAGCTTATTTTGCTTAACACAGTGATCTCCCGTTCTATTTTCCTACAAACTTCACTCTTGTACATGGCTGAAAAATTCCATCATATGCACGCACCACACGTTCTTTATTCATCTGTTGATAGCCAGTGAGGCTGATTTCATTTCTTAGCTATTGTGAATCGTGCAGCAATAACCGCGGGTGTGCAGGTGTTCATGGTGTCTACCCAGGAATAGATGAGCATTCCATTTCCACTTTATTTGAGGAAGCATCCTCCGTATTGACTTCTGTAGTGACAGCACCAGCCTTTATCCATGCTAGCAGTGAGTGAGGGTTCCTGTCTCCCCACATCCTTACTAGCATTTGTTGTCATTTGTTTCCTTGATGACAGTCATTCTGATGAGGATGAGAGGGAACCTCAAAGCAGTTTTAACTTGCATTTGCTTTGTGGCTAAGGCTGCTGAACACTTTTTCAAGTATTTATTGGCCATTTGTACTTCTTCCTTCAAGAGTTGTCTGTTCAGTTCATCAGTCCATCTATTGATTGGGTAGTAAGTGGCTTTGGTGCTTAGTTCTGAAGTTCTCTATATATTTTTGTTAGTTACTGACATGTCCAATGTCATACAGTGGCTTTATGGAGTCTGTTTGAAGTTATTAATGAGCATTTAAAAGTATTGTCTTGATTTCTTCAGAATGCTTTCGATTTATTTCAGGTGTTTCCTTTTCCATTAAGATGCTCTCTGAGGCCTGGTGATCCCAGGTGGCCAGTGCATATTATGAGTGAGGCACAGAAAACCAAAAGATTACCTTTTACCTGCTTATTTCACTTTTATTAATGCAAGACTGGAGAATTTAAGGTTACATATTTAAATTTTTATGTTATGTTTCTATCAGTCAGTACTAATTCAAACAACTATTTGGGAATGTATCTGCACAATCCCCCAAATGTCTCTAGGAAAACTTGCTCAATAAAATATGAAGACAGTCTCTTTGCAAAATAGTGAAGACTATGCAGAAACTTAGATAAGGGAATTAGAAAAACAGATGCAATAACAAAAACGTATTTCAGAAACATTTTAAATATTTTTAGAGCAAGGGCTGGCAAATTTAGTTTTGCCTTTTGGTTCAGCAGGTCTATCTTAACTCTTTAATCCAACTACTCAAAACAGAGGCCAGCCATGGGCAGTCCTTGCATAGACTGGTGTGGCTGTGTGTTGATAAAACTCAACTGAGACAGGCTCCTAAATTTTCTCTCTGTTCTAAAGTTTATTAGTTCTTACTGTTGAGCAAATTGCTAGGGATTCATGTTTCAAAATCCCTGAGAAAATAAAATTTAAAATTACCTGGTTGGTTTCAAACAACCAGATACAAGCACAAGAAAGGTCTGAATCAGTGAGAAAGGGAATGTTGGCCTTATTTGAAAAAAAAGATACATTTCACTAAATGAGACAAAGATGAGGAAAAAAATGTAAAAATTATTTCTTTTTGGTACCTGGGATGACTTCTTTTGAAGTCATGAACAAAAGTCAGTCAAAGATGACAAACAGAAAGTCTTCCTGACATCTGATGCAGCTTCTTCTCCCTCTTGTCACTGGCGTTAACTCTGGTCATGAGCTGCATGGGATGGATGGGATGGCTGTGGTACCGCAGAGTGGGGAGGCTCTGGCTTCTGCTCAGAGGGTTCTCCATGCTGTTTTGAGGTACTTCATCCCAGAGGAGGCTTAAAGATGCCTCTGTCTCACTCCACGGTCCTTAGAGAGATCTGGACAGTAAAGCTGTACTACCTAAGATAAATTTTAAGATAGATTTGTGTGCTATTCTTGGGGTGTGTGTGGTAGGAATTTTATTTAATAAAGTAAAGTTTATTTAATAAAGTAAAACAAAGCAAATATTCCAAAGAGAATAGTAGGCTTTTGTTGTAGGTGTCAACATTTGTAATGAATATTTATGAGGTGGGTGGCATGTTCATGGCGCAAGATGACCTTTTCCCCCTCCTAAATTGTGGTGGGGTCTCCCTTGTAGGTTATTTTTTTTTTTCCATGATCCTCTAGAAAAGGGAAGGGGATCAAAACAAGAAGTACTGAGGCTGAAGTTTTGGAGGATCCAGGCCTTTTGTTAGTCCATACGTGTGTAAAGATGTCCTCATACCTTAGTTTTTGATGTAGTGGGAAAAATTTATCAGAAGCCTCAAGGATGCTTAACTACAAAGTGGCATTCTGACCACCAGGGGACAGCTACTAAGATACAGCTGCATATTTCTTGGTTACTTCATATCTTATTCCTTTTTGAGATTGATCCAGACCCCATAATAAATCTCATGACTGTCGGGTTAAGACATTTTCTTACTTTCAAAATGAAGGCTTTATTGTGGAAGCTGGGGCCAGGCTTTTACAATAGCTTGTGGGGCTTTAAAAACAGGAGCAGGCTTTGGATGTCATCTAGATCTCCCTTTTCCAAGCTCCTCTCCTCATGTCTACTTTCTCCTAGCTTCCTTTATGTTTATTTGCACGAGACTGCCCCCACTTAGAACACATGGTGGTTTGTTGGTGGACTTTTGCTCTGGGCTGTGCCCACCCAGGGCCTGAAAAGCTAGTTAGAAGCCAGGCAGACTTGGGTAAGGCTGGTTGAGTGATAGGGTTTGCCTTTGGATCACTGTGCCAGGAGACCTGCTTGATGGGGGGATCCCCATAGCTTAATAAGAGGCCTTCTTTCTGACCATTGTACACACGAACTCACAGCAGTTATGGTTATCTATACAAGACCTGCCCAAGACCAAGACAATAAAAAATTCCAGCATGAAGGGGGCAAGGGCTTTGGAGGTCCCATCTCTAGCTGAGGAGCTATTAGAAGTAGATGACTGCTGGGGAAAGGGAGAATTACTATTTTCTTTTTCTTCCTTCCTTCCTCTTTCCTTCCTTCCTTCCTTCCTTCCTTCCTTCCTTCCTTCCTTCCTTCCTTTTGAGACAGGGTTTCTCTGTATAGCTCCAGCTGTCCTGGAACTCACTCTGAAGACCAGGCAGGCCTTAAACTCAGAGATCCACCTGCCCCTGTCTCCTGAGTGTTTGGATTAAAGGTATGAGCCACCACTGCCTGGCAGAGAATTTTCTTTTTTCTTTTTCTTTCTTTTCTTTTTTCTTTCTTTCTTTCTTTTTTTTTTTTTTTGAGACAGGGTTTCTCTGTGTGGCTTTGGAGCCTATCCTGGAACTCGATCTGTAGACCAGGCTGGCCTCAAATTCACAGAGACCTGCCTGGCTCTGCCTCCCAAGTGCTGGGATTAAAGGAACATGCCACCACCGCCCAATGAGAATTTTCTTTCTTTTTTTTAAAATTTTTATTTTTATTTTGCAATACAATTCAGTTCTACATATCAGCCATGGATTCCCTTGTTCTCCCCCCTCCGCCCCCCCCCCACCTTCCCCCCAGCCCAACCCCCATTCCCACCTCCTCCAGGGCAAAGCCTCCCCTGCGGACTGAGATCAACTTGGTAGACTCAGTCCAGGTAGGTCCAGTCCCCTCCTCCCAGGCCAAGCCAAGTGATCCTGCATAGGCCCCAGGTTTCAAACAGCCAACTCATGCAATGAGCACAGGACCCGGTCCCACTGCCTGGATGCCTCCCAAACAGATCAAGCCAATCAACTGTCTCACCCATTCAGAGGGCCTGATCCAGTTGGGGACCCCTCAGCCATTGGTTCATAGTTCATGTGTTTCCATTTGTTTGGCTATTTGTCCCTGTGCTTTATCCAACCTTGGTCTCAACAATTCTCGCTCATATAAACCCTCCTCATTCTCGCTAATTGGACTCCCAGAGATCCACCCAGGGCCTAGCCATGGATCTGTGCATCCAGATAGCTCAGTAGTTGGATGGGGTTTCTAGCACAATTAGGGTGTTTGGCCATCCTATCACCAGAGTAGGTCAGTTCGGGGTGTATCTCAACCATTGCCAGCACTCTGTTGTGGGGGTATCTTTGTGGATTTCTGTGGGCCTCTCTAGCACTTTGCTTCTTCCTATTCTCATGTGGTCTTCATTTACCATGGTCTCCTATTCCTTGTTCTCCCTCTCTGTTGTTGATCCAGCTGGGATCTCCCACTCCCCCAAGCTCTCTTTCCCTCGACCCTCGCCCTTCATTACCCCCGCTCATGTCCAGGCTATTCATGTAGATCTCATTCCATTTCTCTGCCATTGGGCAATCCCTGTGTCTTTCTTGGGGTTCTGTTTTCCAGGTAGCCTCCCTGGTGATGTGAGTAGCAGTCCAGTCATCCTTGTTCTACATCTAGTATCCTCCTATGAGTGAGTACATACCATGTTTGTCTTTCTGAGTCTGGGTTACCTCACTCAGGATGATTTTTTCTAGATCCATCCATTTGTCTGCCTTGTGACCATTGGTAATCTCCTTGTGTCCCAGTAGATGAACCTACACCCATGCGCCATATTGACAGCACTAATTAGACTCAGTGGATTAAAAAAATAAGCAAAAAAATTATGTAAGCAGGACATGAAGTTGGGAGGGAAATGCAACCTGGGGTCCTGGAGGGTGGAATTAAAGTTGGGTAATGAGGGGTGGATATGATCAAGATATATTGTATACATGTATGAAAATTTCAAAGAACAAATAAAAATTAAGAAAAGAATATATGTGGGAGATGATTATTATTTAAGTTGGCAAGTTATAACTATTGTGATTTTTTCAATAAAAAACATCTTCACAGAAAGGAAGGAAGGGAGGAAGAAAAAGGGGTTCTTTTCAGTGGAACGTCAAGAGAAGTGTCTTCTAGCTATTTCCTGACTCTCTTGTAGGGGTTTGAAGGAGTTGAGAAAGATTTGCAGTTGAACCATTTCCTGTGTGTGCTTTGAGCCCTGAGCTGTACCGAGTGAGCTTTGCGTCCTCAAGTCTGTAGACTCTCCTCCCTTTGATTTCCCCGGAGAGTGAATCTCAAGTCTAGGGTGCCTCAAGTACTTTCTGGCTAATGGAGTTCTGAGGGTGGGGAGGGAGGAGGCAGAGGCAGATCAACACTTGTTACATAAACTTCCAACTTACCTTCATTATTCTTTTCTTCACCTTGTCTCGTTCCTGCCCACCGCTGCACTGGAGCGTCTCCGGTATTTTTTGTGGTACATTGTCTCTGTGAGCACATCTCCCCTGCGTCATCTCTTCTCTAAGTCGTTCTGAACCCTGACGTCTTCCTAATGTAGATCGCTGGCGCCTCTGACTCTTAGATTTAATGCACTTGTTTTTAAGAAGAGAACTTTGAGCTTTAACAAGGTTTGCAAGGACTGGAAAAACAATGGGATTGTTTCTTTTCATCAGAGACAATTATTACACATTTTTTTGGGGGTTGACTTCTCCTGCTGTTCATAATCACTTAGAAAACATTAAAAAATGCAGACAAATATAAGTGAAAGGAAGTTACTCATAGCTGTGACACATATCTGATGTATGTCCTAGCTCAAAAATGCAACTGTTTAATAAATAATTCCCATCTATAGTAGTGAGTATGCGCCAATCATTTATCTGCAACAAATATTTTCCTCAGTTATTAATAGGAGGGGGGTATTCCTGGCTCAATGACTATGGATCTATGTCATATTTTATTTTATCCATCATTTATTTTTAGTGTTTTGATTCTGTCTAATGCTCTACTATTTTAGACACTATTTCCAAGGACATACTGTTCACAGTTTTGTTGGTGGGGGAGAAGTCTCACATCAGAGTTCTAGAGGCTCTCTGATGGTCTCTTTGCAGGGAACAGAAAGGGAAGGGATGTGGAGACCACGCCCCTGGGAACTCCAGGCATGGCACAAGACTCGAGCAGATCCTGTCAAGTGAACAGAGTGTTAGCATGAGTATAAGGCATTCTTGTAAGATGGAGAATAAAATAGCTCTGAAGATGCCAAGGGAAACGGTTTAGTACTTCTAAAAGGCGGCTTTGTGAGGCCCTGGAAACCTGGAACTGTGTTTCATAGCAACGGTTCTTTCCCCTTCATCCACCATGATCCCGAAACAAAGAAGCGTCCCTCATAGGCTCAGGCCTTTGAATACTTGGTTCTCCATTTGGTGGCGCTGCTTGGTGAAGTTACCAAATCTTTAGGAGCTGGAGGATCTGTATCCAACCACCAGGGGAGGGCTCTGAGAGCTTACGGGGTCTCCCTCCACTCCCAGTTTGCCGTTTCTGCTTCCTGCCTGCGGAAAAAAGATGTGAGCTCTTAGCTTCCTGTCACCATCTCCTAGTGTTGCCATGCCTTCCCACCCCACCCCCGATCTGGACTCTTCCCCGGAACTCTAAGCCAGCACAAACTCTTTCTTCTATAAACAAAAATCAAAACCAAAAAATGCTGGGGGGAAAAAAAAAGGGCCAAAGTAACCAAATGGCTTCATTAACTTTTCTTTCCCAGTATTTCGGACGGACCCAGGGCCTCTCATGTGCAAGCTAGGCAATCACTCTGCCACTGAGCCACGCCCCGGCCCTGAACGCCTTCGTAATCCATTATGTCCTTCTTATGTGTGGATTACCTTTCCCTGCCCTTTGCACCAACCCTCGATGGACTTTGTAATTTTTCATCACGAACTCTTGTGACCTTCCTTATCTTCTGGAGGAGCAGGGTTGAAGTAGGAGGCAAAAATTTGAAAAGCTGAGGCAGCCAGTCAGCTAGGGAAGAAAATAAGACATGAAAGCCTCGCTCTGCATGAGTCATCATGAAGTTCAGTTCAGCAAAATCTCTTTGAGAAAGCAGCGGGCACGGACTCTAATGGAGATGGATTTCCGTTAGAGCTGTGGATGTCATGGAAGTTTCAAGGCCAACAGGAGGAGAGTCTGTGGCTATCTAGAACGCTGGGCTTGCCCCCAAGGATTCTGGGTGGCTAAAGGATTCCGGGTAGTTGAAGTAGTTGCCTTTTCTCTGATTGGAGAGTTGAAACCACTCAACATGTGGTGAAATATGGGGTGTTGGTCCCTTCCCAGAGGGAATTGCATAAATTGTAAAGTTTAAGGAAGTTTAAAGCAAAGTGCAGGAATGTGGCACTGGGCTCAGAGTAGGGGCTGAACACCTAGTGTAAGTATGTAGAATCAAGGGAATTATGTGGTGATTGGAAAGAAAATGGCCCTTGAAGGGCGTGGCATTATTAGGAGGTGTGGCCTTGTTGGGGTAGGTGTGGCCTTGTTAGGGTAGGTGTGGCCTTGTTGGAGGAAGTGTGTCACTCTGGAGGTGAGCTTTGAGGTATTATATATATGCTCCAGCCACGCCCAGCAAGACAGACCACTTGCTATTCTGCCCACACAAGTTCTAGAATTCTCAGCTACCTCTCCAGCACCATGTCTGCCTGCACGATGCCATGTCCTACCTTGATGATGAGGGACTGAACCTCTGAACTGTAAGCCACCTAATTTAATGATTTCTTTTGTAAGAGCTGCCGTGGTCATGGTGTCTCTTCACAGCCATAGAAACCCTAACAAAGACAGAACTGCTTTCAAGAGTGACTCTCCTCCAAAGCTCTTTGTCTAGAGAGAATGTTCTGGAAGATGGTTAAGGGGTGGGGAGATGAAAGTTTGCCTGGGGAATTTGTGCAGCACAGGCCCCAAGTTGAAGTGTGGTGGCATGGAGCTGGCTGGTGGTAGCCTGCACTGCCTGTGCTGTGGTTGCTTGGTGTGCCATGAGGTCCTGCAGGTGCCCCACTGGCTCAGGAACTTAGCTAATCTGTAGCTGGACCTGGAGGTGGGTCTGCCCTGCCATCCCTGGGGCTTTCTGGTAATGGCTAGTCCCTAGAGGTCAGCTGTGTGGATAGCAAAGCAAAGGAACCCTGAGCTTATGATTTCAAGTCTAGCTTCCTTTCCATAACCCTTACCCCAGGGTTATGGAAAGCAAAATTATTTAGGTTATTGAAGTAGATGGGTTTCTTTTTCCTTGAATTATTCACAGGAAATAATCTCATAATTCCTTGGATAGAGATAAGAGAGATAAGCTGTGTGTGTGTGTGTGTGTGTGTGTGTGTGTGTGTGTGTGTGTGTGTGTGTGTAGGAGTTTATGATGTGTGTGGATCAGAGATCAGCATCAGGTTTTTTGAGACAGGGTCTTTCTCTGAACCTAGTGATTGCCAATTTGGCTAGACTGGCCAACAAGACAGGATTTTCCTGTCTGTCTCCTCAGCGCTGTGATAACAGGTACACATCATAGTGTCTTCTGGCTTTTTAACATGGGCACTTAGGCATTGACTCAGACTCTCATGGCATGCACCAGGTACTTTACTGATTGAACTGTCTCTCCAGTCCCAGATTTGGGTTTTTAAAAAGGAAAACGGAATTAGTAGAGTTTTAAAATACAAATTCCACTAAAATACCCAATAGTAGTTTACAGAGCATCGGTTTCTCCGAAGTCTTTGTTATGAAAATTGCACAGAGGTCACACAATCCTCTTGTGTGATTTATAGCAATTGTTTCTCATTTACCAGTCACCCCTTTCTTCTTTCTCCTCCTCTTCTTCCTCTTCTCCTCCTCTTCCTCCTCCTCCTTCCTCTTCTCCCTTCTCCTCTCCTCCCCTTTCTCCTCCCCTCTCTCCTCATCCCCTCCTCCCCCTCCTCCTCTCTCCCCTTCTCCCCCCTCCTCCTCTTGTATACTGTACAAGAATCTCAATCTCTTGAGCTCAGCTGATCTTCCTGCTTCAGCATTCTTACAAGTCATTTCTTTTGTTCTCCATCTTTCTTATTTTATTATTTTTGCAGTGCTGAGGACAGAACCCAGAGCCTTGCGCATGCTAGGCAGGCATTAGACAACCGAGCTACACGCTCAACTCTTCCGTTTTCTGAGACAAGATCTTGCTATGGTAGCTCAGTCTGGCTTTGACCTCTAGATCCTTCTGTCTTCATCTCTTAAGTGCTAAGACGACAGGAGTACACCACCGTGCCTGGTACCCTAGCAGCCATTTTTTCCTGGGATAATTTTACCCTTTATGAGAGCTTTGTGAGAAAAGCAGTATTCTTCCTACTTTCACAGAAAAGTGAAATGAAGCCTCCAGGGTTGAACTTATTGGCTCCAATGATTAACAGAGAGGAGCTAATTTTCCAAAAAAGGAAGAATGTTCTCTGTAGTTTTTAACCACATCTTCAGGAGAAAGAAAAAAAAATGATATTACCCCTTTCTTTTCTATAAAGACAAAATATACCTGGTAGATACTTTTCTGTGTTACTCAATAGCTTCTGAAAACACTTTTCTTTTTGAGACAGGTTTCATGTAGTCCACACAATCTTTGCATTTGCTATGTAGCTGAGGATGGCTTTGAACTTCTGATACTCCTACTTCTACCTCCTGAGTGCTGAGATCACAAATGTGCATCACCACACCTGTTTTTTTGTGGAATCATCTCTCCAGCTCACAGGTGTGTATAACTCCAGCCTCAGGAGATCCAAACTTCTCTTCTGGCCTCCGTGGGCACCAGTCACACACATGATGCACAGACATACGTTCAGGCCAACACTCATGTACATAGAGGAAAAATAAATAAAAATCTAAAATTTTTAAAAACAAGACAGCACTTTCATACATTCCAGTGATTTTTATGTCACCCTGTTAACAATGGTAGCCTTCCATGACTCAGTTTCCCCAGATGTGCACACTTGAATTTTGTTTCTGCCACACTTGGCACCCCAGGCAGCTGGTCTCTGAGATTCCGGGTAGTTCTTCTGACTCTGCCTTCCATCTCACCAGAGGAGTGCAGGAATTACATAGACACATCATGGTATCTTGGCTTTTTCAACGTGTATGCTTGGGATCAGGCTTGTGTACCTAGAACTCTTACCCACGGAGCCATCTTGCTGGCCCCGTAATTAATTTTTATATATGGAATAACTTCAGAAGGAGCCTGTACTTTAATACCCATTTATAGGCACCAGACAGTAGAACAATGCACCACATAGATGGAAAATGTCTTCGGCCTCCAGGGTTTGAAACATTATAGCAACGAGAAGTTCAAGGGCTGTTCTCTTCTAACCTGGGAGCACATCCAAGAGGGAATTAAAAGAGTACATGTAAAATGCCATTCCTCATTCTTCTCTGAAAATATTTTGTATCTAGAATATTTGCAGGTCACTGCTCTGGGCACACTAAATGATTTACTGGCGGAACAAAATGTTGGATTCACAGTGGCTCCGTGCCCTCAAGGGCCAGTGAGGATATGTGCTTAGCTTATCCTAAGAGGTTGTGTGGTTCTCTGAGTAGATGAAAGGGTACACCTTTTCCCAAAAATCAATTATCATGAGACTATCAACTTAATATGCTGAGAAACTGGGAACAGGTAGAACAGAAAACAGTGTTTCCTTAAGGTTCCATGGAAGAGAAAAATCTTCTTGCCACTGGCCCCAAGTAAAAGATTGAATTGGTCAATATGAAGCAAGTTATGTTGCATGTGATAGAAATATGGTGCTCCACAGTTTAGTTTAGAAAGTAGTGAGAATAGGTCTGAGAGAGACCAAGTAATCCATAGCTAGAGTGTATATCAGGACCGACACTCTGGCATTGGAGCCAGAGAATGCTCTATGTGATTGTGTATGTGTGTGTGTGTGTGTATGTATGTAAGCATGCACACACATGTGCGTGTGCAAAGGGTGTGTTTATCTAATCAGTGGAAATGTTTGAAACCACTAGTAAGGGTTTTCCTAAACTTAACAAGGTGCAATTCCTGGATTCTATATTTCTAACAATCTCTAGTTCTAGCTTTATTGTGATGGACAAACCTCTGGGATGGCTTCCGGGATCACAGGTCAGTGCAAGCTTACGTTCTTATTGGTCAAAACTGGGGTGAGTAATTTAACCTTTTTGTCTCTTAGTTTCCTTGTCTCTGGACTGTGGATAACAGGAGTAGTTCCTGTATTACAGGATGGCTTTGGGAAGGTTTATAAAAATGATAACTCATATATATATATATATATATATATATATACATATATGATATACATAGTTTTCTTTCTTTTCAAAGACTTTTTTGAACTTAAAGATACATAGATCTGTCCATATAAAGAACTCTTTTTTCATTTTTAAAAAGTTGTATAATATTCCACTCTTTGGGTATACCATAACTCAGTTGCTCTTTTTCTCTTGACATTTATTTAGGCTGTTTGAAATCTCACCTAAACCGTTTGTGTGATGCTTTTAAGTCTCAAATACTGGATGAAACCCTCTGCATGCAACATTGCTGTAACACGGTCCACAGAGTGCAAGAGCAGGAGGAAGTTTCTTGAACCCTCTCTCCCTCCCTTCCTTGTTTCTGGAAGTAAACGACAGCCAGCTGGAGTGTCGTGTGGAATTTGCGCTTTGTATTATCAATCTCTATCGAATTACATTGTCGTTTGCTTCCACCATGGTGGCGTGGGACTAGAAAACAGCCACTAAGGAAGGAGTAGCTGGCAGACACAATCCAGAAAGAAGCCCTTTCCCAGCAGAGTGTCAACTCACCAGTAGAGGGCTCTCTCCTTTTGGGAAAAATAATGTTTCTGGGAAAATTTTCAACTTAAAACCCAGGCATGGACCATGGTCTGAGGACTATGCCACTGAAGATCGAGGGATTAGCTCATTACTGTGTGAGTCTGTCTTTTGGGGGTACTGATGTACATGTAGTTGTGGGGAGGAAGAGAGCGTGGCATTCTCCTAAGGTTTTAGGGGCAGGCTGTGGTTTGATCTAGACCAGGGCATTATGGTTCTGGCCTTCCCCTGTGTTGTAGTATTAGAAGTCATATGCATATCCCAGGTTACGTCAGGGTGTATTCCCTGGGTTATGCTTATAAAACATGTTAAGAGCAAATTTAACCCTGTTGGTGAACTCCTATTTATGTAAGTGGGTAAGCTCTCTCCCAACCGTGAACTTCTTATTATCACCTCAGAGAGGAAGAGCTTGACAGTGTCTTCAGGGACAGTCTGGCGAGGTGGAGCTGAGCTATTATTACTTCTCTTCACCCTCTGTGGTGTCCTTCCTGCCCTCCCCTTTCAGTAAACCGAGGCTGGAAGAGTGCAGATGGCCCAGAGTCACCCAGCAAGTGCCTACTTAGCAGGAAGTTTGTAAGTTCCTGAGCTGAAATGGCATTATTAGCATTGTAGCTATAGAGTGCAGACTGTTTCCCAGAGAGGTTCTCAACCTGTGGGTCGTGACCCCTCCGCAGGGGTCGCATGTCAGATATCCCGCATATCAGATATTTATATGCCATTCATAACAGTAACAAAATTACAGTTATGAAGTAGCAACGAAAATAATTTTATAGTTGGCGGTCATGACAACGTGAGGAATTATATTAAAGGGTCACAGCATTAAGAAGGTTGAGAACTTCTGCTATAGAGTGCCTCCCTCTCTCTAGGCCCCAACCACTTGCCCTTGTCTGAGAAAGTCAAGGTCACTGACCTGGCCCCAGGGAGGAAGTTTCTCCTCTACTTCTCAGAACAGTATTCTCAAGACAGAAGGATGTTCACAGACTTCAGTTTTTCCACTCTTCAGGGCATACCCTGGCTAATATTGAGCGAAGCTCCAAAGACACCAAAGGCACAGGCCAACTGCGTAGAACATGCTTCCCTGAAAATGGTCTGTTCCGGGCGATGAGTCATTGGCACAGGCGCGCAGTGTACCTGAAGCTGACCTGGTGCGGTCCTGTGAACACGTGTGGGAAGGCTGGGGCTGGCTAGCACTTCTCAGGCCAAAGCTGCCCTTTCTGTCTTATCTGGGATTAAGAAAGAAAGAGCACAGAACGAAGAAGAAAGGTGAGCTCCCCGTTCGGATTGTGGGCAGCTGAACCCTACGGGAACTTTTAACAGCTCTCTGCCGATCTTACACAGGGAGGGGGCACAGGCTAATGGAACTGATTAGGAGTAACCAAGTTAGATAACCTTTCTGTGCCTTTAAAGCTCATCACATGGCTTTCAGACTCCACAGGCAACCTTCCAAGATTCTGTGTTTGAGGATTTTTTTTTTTTTTTTTGCATAGATTACCTCATTTCTATTCCTAGTGTTATACACCTGCCAAGCATTCACCAATAACATTTGTTTGTTCAAGTCTCTCTAGGGTTGCAATAAAATGACATGCACGTTTCTAACTGAGAAGAATGATTCATGGAACCGATGTTAAGAAGGGGGTTACAGCTCACCCCCCCCCCACAAACTTCAATAATCTACGTTCATACCTGACTTCAGTGAAGCTTGCATTTTACCAGAATAGTCGGGAGGACTTGCTGAGCTAGGGCAGGGCCCACCCCAGAGCTCCTTATCTGTTATGTTTGGAGTGGGGCCTGCAGTGTTTAACAAGTTTCCTGGGGTTAATGATGTTTCTGGTATGGGGACTGTACTTGAAAAATTATTGGTTTAGTTACTGTAAGGTTGAAAAGCCTGAGAAAGCAGAAATATGGGCCCTTTGTAAAGCTCTGGAGGTGGAACTGGGTTCAGATTCTTCTAATGCTTCCAACTATGTGATCCTGGCTAAGTTCCCCTCTCCTCCCCTCCCTTCCCCTTCCTCCCCTCCCCTCCCTTCCCTTCTCCCCTCCCCTCCTTCCTCCTTCCCTCCCCTTCCCATCCCTCCCCCTCCCCTCCCCTCCCATCCCTTCCCTTCTCCCTTCCCCTCCCCTCCCTTCCCTTCCCTTGTCTTCTCTTCCCTTCCCTTCTCCCCTTCCCTTCCTTTCCCTTCCTTTCTCTTCCTTTCTCCTCTCCCCTCCTTTCTCCCCTCCCCCTTCCCCTTCCCCTTCCCCCTTCCCTCCCCTCCCCTCCCCTCCCTTCCCTGCCCTTCTCTTCTCTTCCCTTCTCCCCTTCCCCTCCCCTCCCCTCCCTTCCCTTCCCTCCCCTCCCCTCCTCTTTCCTTCCCTTCCCTTCCCTTCTCCCCTTCCCCTCCCCTCCCCTCCCTTCCCTTTCCTCCTTTCCCCTCCCCTCCCCTTCCCTCCCTTCTCTTCCCTTTTCCCCTCCCCTCCCCTTCCCTTCCCAGCACCTTCACTTTCTCCACTATAATCCAAAGCAGGGATTATAGCTTCTCATTCACAGGGTTGCAAGTATGAAGCTGCCTGTCACTGGTGTAGCGGATATATGTACTTACTGCATTGACTCATAGAACATCTATAATGAAGTGCTGGGCATGTAGCTCGTTTGGTAGAGTGCTTGTCTGATGTGTGAATCCTGCTTTTTTTCCCCCAGCACCACATAAGCATGGGTATTGGTGCTGCACACCTGTAATCCCAGCACTTAGGAAGCAGAGAAAGGAGGACCAGAACTTCAGGGCCATCCTTAGCAACATAGTGAATCTGAAGCCAGCCTGGGCTACATGAGATCCTGTCTAAAAATAACCCAAAAAATCTAAACTGAAACAACAATAACAAAACTCAAAATAAAACTATAATGAACAATTATTCATTAAAATATTTTTGTATATCTTTGAAGTAGTTTATTATGTTCACTAAAAGTAGGTCAAAGTAAAAATAATTAAATATAAGGCACAGGTACTTTAAATAAGCGTGAGGTGGTAGTATACTTTTTCCCCTAACATAATCTTTCCATTGATTATTTGGGAATATCACATAATGCACCCGACTCACACTCACTTCCCCGTCCTCCCAGGCACGAGGTGGTGGTACTTTATTAAATTAAGGAAGTTTCCTGAAATGAAACACAGCGTTTGTATTATCAGCCTTTGCTATTCCTGAAGTTAAGAGAAGTCAAAAGCCTCTGCACGCAACAGTGCCCAGGAGAGAGCAACATCAGAGCAAAGCTTTCCCAGAGTCTCCATTGGCAGCTTTTGAAATGACAAAACTCGAGGCTTCCCCAGCTGGAGGAGTGGGCAAAGCTGCTCTGAGTTTTCAGATTTGTTCTTGGGATTCCCACCCCCTGGAACATTGACTCCCTTCCTGGCCTGCCTTTGGTTAAGGCTGTGGGTTTCCAGAAGGCAAATGGTATTTTCTAGGAGTAATTAATACGCACTGACTCTTTCAGATTAGATTATGTGAGATTAGCTAGATGTTACCTCGGAAAATGCGGTGCCTTGCCCTGAGGGAATAGGATACAGGCAGCTGACTCCGAGGAAAGACCTGGGATGTGGGGCTCTGTGAGGACATGGCTGCCCAGGGCACTGGAGGGCAGGAGTGAACTGCTTGTGTCTCTGCTCAGACAGTTCCACTTTCCCGTCCTGAGACCCTTCTATCTTACACGGTTTATAAGGCCTGTTGTGTAAACTGTCTTGTGCACCGAAAATGGCTTTGGCTTTGGAGATTTGGGAGCCTCAGTTGTACCAGCTCTTCTCCGGGCCTTTGCCCCAGTGTACAGATCCACTGGTTGGGAGGCGAGTAAAACGCAGATCTAGGAGATAGTCATAGAGTTAAGCCTTGCTTTGGGGCATGCAGGTAGCAATAACCCAGGGAGTTCGTCTCCTGCTCCGTTTCTAATGATGACTAAGTCACCTGAAGCAAACATTACATCAGCCTTATCCTAATATCATGGGAAATCCTGAGCCGACTGAAAGATAAGGCTTACTGAAGAGCAAGCTGTGACTTTGTTTCATTTTAATAGTTTGTGCTGACGGGGAACCTTTAAACAATCCCACTGGAGAGTTTTAGTGACATTTTCCTGGCTAACCTATCCGATGGATTAGTACACGAAGCCTGCTTTCTACTTTGACAGCAGCACATGAGGTTTGTTTAACTCATGACAGAGCACCGTGCGTCCCTTCTCACTGTTAAGTGGGAGGTCCTAGGGAGCATCCTGGAGCCCTTTTCAAGCCCTTGGGCTCTTCTGCAGGCTGGTTCTAACCTGACTGCCTTCCTGGCTCTTCTGCTAGCTCTTGGCCTTTCCCTTTGAATGTAAAGGAAACTAATGTCCACTTACAGGAGCCCGCGACAATACAATGCTGCCAGATGGGTTGGTTGATGGGACTAAGCTGGGGTCTGACTGGTCAGTCCTACCTTATCCTCATTTGGCAAATAGTGGGTGTGAATGAAGGGTGGGCAATCCCTGTGGCCAGTACCCGCAACCTACATGAAGTCTGTGGAGGCTGAGCCAGCACTGTGGCCTGGGGAGGGAATGCAGGGGGCAGGGAGAAGGGGTGAGGACATGCTGGGATCGTTCTCAAGGCCAAGTGCTACAATTCTGTGTACGTATCAACAATATATTTATAGAGAATACGGGCTTTCACAATAAAGAGTAAGTGAATAAGAGGATTGGAGAAACTGAAGATAGTTGAAAAATTTATTTAGCTCCTGATGTTTTATTGATAATATATGATATGATGTCATAGGATATTATATTTATTTAGTCACTAAAATTATGTAACTTTATACAACACACATGTATGTATGCGACTACAGTCCCACAAAGGAACCGATCAGTCACATAATTACCTTTTTGTGACAGAAGTATCTAAATTGAGTTGCTGTGTGAGCACATTTCCAGTATACAGTGTGGCAACGGCAGACTCATGCTGCTCTCTAGGCTTCTTCATACTGCCAAACACACTTGCTAGTTCTGTTCTGTTTTGCTGTCTTCTACCTCTCCCAAGAGTGGTTCTTTCTGCTTCGATGTCTTTGATTCTTTCTCTTTGTCTTTTTCTCTCTTCCTTCCTCCCTCTCCCTTTTTCCCTCTCCTTCCTTCGAGTACCTGTAAGATCACCTTTCTTTCTGTGTCTGGCTTGTTTCATTTAACATAATGCTCCCTAGGGCCATCCGTATTCCACGTGATGAGATCTTGAGCACTGTTTAAGAAGTCCTAGGAGCACTTCCTAGAAAGAACTCAGATTAGGCGTGCCAGTGAAGCCCTCTGTTACCTCTGGAGCTGTGGAGTTAGAGTCGGTGATCAGTTCTAGCAGGCAGTCTATAATGCTCTGACTAACTCTTTATTTTCTGGATCATTTCCAGGCTTAAAAGATGAACTTTTCTAGGCACATTTGCAAGTAATTCTATAGATGATGTTACAACTCACACTCCCCGTTGGGCAGAGCCTCCTTTGGAGTTTGGATTTACCACAGAAATGAATATTCAGGGTTCTGTTGGATAAATCTTTTAGAGCAGCAGTTCTCAACCTGTGGGTCATGGCCCTTTTGAGGGGGGTTGAATGACTCTCTCAAAGGGGTCACCTAAGACCATCTGTATATCAGATATTTGCATTATGGTTTGTAACAGTAGCAAAATTACAGTTATGAAAAAATTACAGCTATGAAGTAGCAACAATAATAATTTTATGGTTGGGGTCACTACAATATGAGGAACTGAATTAAAGGGTTGCAGCATTAGGAAGATCGAGAACCACTGTTTTAGAGGAACCTAAGACAATTCAGTTGAGGTTTTCATGCATTTTCCTGGAGGTGACCCTTCCATGCTAAGAAGGGTCTTGTAGCATGTTACTATTCCTCATTGATTCTCCCTCCAGAAGGAAATCTTTTCATGTAAAGCAGAAAGGCTCATTTTTTCTTTTGTCAAAAGAACAAGTATGTCCTAAATATTGTGGTGAAGAAAAAGGTCAATGGAACTGTTTTCTGTTGCTTCTCAGGGTTGAAATTCTTGCTGATTGGATAGGTGGAATTCGTGGAGTTTGAGGAAAGTTTTTAATAGTATTTTTTAATGCAAAAGAGGGGCTCACTCCAAGCTCAAATGCTATTCCTTCTTATCTTCCTGACCTCATAAGATTTCTCTTTGTCATTATAAATGCTTATCCTCATAAAATCACTATGATTAACTGCTGTGGGATGGTCTGTATGTCAAATGTGTTGCTGATTGGTCAATGAATAAATCAC